AAAGTTCCTAATACGATATAATTCACTCCAAAGATATATCTGGCCAATAATACTGGAAACAACTTTTCTCAAATTATTATGGTTTGTGTAATTATAGTGCTAAATATTTTGACATTAAATACATAAATAGTCTGTTTCTATAAGAAATACATAAGTCTGTTTCTATAATATCACGTTTCTGAAATAGCATAAGAACATATTGGAAATAATAATATTAGATTTTATTCTTACATGTATTAATAATACTTTCACGAAATCTAAACAAAAAACGATATCGTAGAAGAACAGATTCTTTCGTTACGATACAAACTACAAAAGAACTGTATGTAGTCACATCGCATACTTTCGTTGAAAAAAAAAAATGTAAGTACGAACAATACGGTAATAACAGTACTTACAATAATAAACCAACCAAGATATTAATCCAAGGTATTAAAACTTTCGAATGTAATATCAACATGGGAGTAATGGAAGCAAGAAACCAATGTAACAGATATTTGCCTACAGATGACGTACAAAGGCAATCGCTGCTACAACAACACAATATAAAAGCTACTTCTCGTAGCTCAATCCGAAAAAGTTAAGAGGAAGTAAATAAAACTAGATTTAATTTGATTCGTAAACAGTGTTCCAACTTACCAGCAACAATTGAATGACAGCGTTGCAAAAGGAGTGCAGAAAAAGCGACTATAAGTAACGCGGAACGTAACTTATTAAGCATCCATTCCACAGATCGGTCCTATCTATACACATCTATCCGTACGTATCACGCGTACCGTGATCAGCATTATATACAGAACACGTACAATGTTTGAATGCAACTTTTTACCAAGCACTTAAATTCAGTTTAATTGTAATACCAAATATTTAATGATAAAGTACTTGCCAGTTATTGAATCATAGAAAGCGAGTTATTGACAACAGGACTCGATGTTAAAAAACAGATCGTATAAACCAAGCTGATTGAAGCAGATATGACCGGGCATGGCCACTTTGTGGTTGTATATATGTACATGCATATACATCCATGCATAATGCGCGCACGCGAATAACACACATGCATACAAAACTCTACATGTATATTTTTGCAAAATTTTAGTTTTAATTTTATTAAACATTCCTATCTTTTTATTTGTATACTGTGATTGAAATAAATAAACGTTAGTGAAAATTTAGAGAAACATTAAATAATTGCGACTTAAAAATAATGTTAAGGGGGATTCATATGCTAAGCCATGATACTGCAAAATTAAAATATTTGAAATTGGTACCTTTAATTTTAAATTGTGTTATGTATTTTGGCTACCATAAAGCCATATTTATTAAGCATTATAATAAAAATACGTGATATTTATGTATATGGAAGATCAAAGAGT